GATAACTCCGGGTGACGCCTCGCTGCGAATGCAGTGCGAGGGCGCCGTCTCGGCTTGCTTTGGGAGTTTTGCGATGCTCTTCGGGAAGGAATAGCCACTTAGACGTCAGGCCAAGGTGGGGCCAAGGCAGCTTGCCCACCAACAGGTGGTCTGACACTGAAAAAGCTGTATATGGCCATGGTTCAAAACCAATGGTACCATTTTGGGATAGGTGCACCACCCATTTTAAACAATTTTAGTGGGGATTGGGATGTTCACTGGGGGTACGCGGGTTTTGACCCATGGCCATATCTACAAACATGTGCCTGGAAAGAGTGAAGCCGCGAGAACTTTGATCAGCACACGTTGCAAGCAATCGGTATTCAGTGTGCATGTGACGCTCACATGGGAAACGATGGAACGCGAAAAGGCAAAAGGAACAATTAAGTCATAGCCAGAACTCCTGCCAGTAGTAAATTGCCAGCATTTCTTTCAAATAGGCCAACTTATATCTCTCACAAGCTGAAAACTTGATTTGTCTGGTTGAATTTGTACAAATACAAATGATTTTGTCGGACACTCATGCATCTTTTAATTATGTGACAATTATGTGCATAGTATTGTAAACATAGAGTTCTAAAAACTATACATATTTCCAGATAGGAGAGATGGTGAATTTGCCTGCGATTTCTGCAAAACACACGCACCCAAACACGAACAAAAGCAACATGAACGCCCACCCACCCGGCACTTGATCAAAGGTACCTAGGAAGAGGTCTGTAAGCTGATGTAGGGGTGACACATAATGGATTTAGTCAGAGTGACCTCACTGACACAAACAAACATCTTTACTCCGGTTTCCACAACACTTCTTCATGCGCACCCGAGCGCGTCGCAACCTGCCTACCAACAACGGAACACATGCTGTCACTGCCATTATTCCTGACTCCCGTGTTCATGGCTTCCTTGGGCTGAACATGGCCCTCTGCACGCCTGTCTGTCCGAAGATTCGACCGGATGCGACCGGAGGCCCGAGCCTTGCCACGTATCCGACGCTTGGGGCAGCGCGGTAGCACCATGGCGCTGAGGGAGCTGCTTGAGCAGCTGCGAACGGACGTGAATCCGAGTCCTTGGCTACGCCACTTTCAAATCGCGGCCTACACGCCCACACGCGAAGGTTTCTGGTTTGTTGTCTGAAATTGATGCTTGGTAGGTTTCCGCTGACTCATGATCTCGAGCTGCAGGGCTGAGATGCGTGGTTTCACGAAATCTTAGCAAATGAAATAATTATCGAACACGAAGGGGTACAGTACTGCCCTGAGTTATTACAATGAGTTACAGCTAGCCATGCCATTGCAAATGTGCCAGCCATGAGGCTGCAGGGAGTCACCAACAGCCCAAACCCGCTGATTGAAACACGAACAAACGCGCACGCGCACGCACACGCACATACACACATACTCACACGCACTCACATACACTCAGATGCATACATTATACATTACATTGCATTACGTGTCGTTACATGATTGGTGCTACTCGTATGGATTTACTCCGCCTTTGTTTTTCTAGTTGGTTTCGACAGTTGCAGGTGTTCCTTCAAAGATGCGAATCGCGCAGCCCAAACTGTGGGTGGGACTTTCATTCAACCGATGTAACGTAGTGTAATGTAACAGGATGACCCCACGTCACAACAGCCCCAGATTCAAGAATGGCAGCAAAAGCACGGTTAGTTGCTTGGATGTGCTGGACGTTCCTCAGCTGCTCTTGCACCCGGGTGCTGTCTCCGCCGTATTCTGGATCACCCCAGGTCACAACAGCCCCAGAATCAAGAATGGCAGCAAAAGCAAAGTTAGTTGCTTGGATGCTCTGGACGTTCCTCAGCTGCTCCTGCACATGGCTGCTGTGTCCGCCGTAGTCAACCTGACCCCAGGTCACAACAGCCCCAGATTCAAGAATGGCAGCAAAAGCAAAGTTAGTTGCTTGGATGTGCTGGACGTTCCTCAGCTGCTCTTGCACCCGGGTGCTGTCTCCGCCGTATTCTGGATCACCCCAGGTCACAACAGCCCCAGATTCAAGAATGGCAGCAAAAGCAAAGTTAGTTGCTTGGATGTGCTGGACGTTCCTCAGCTGCTCTTGCACCCGGGTGCTGTCTCCGCCGTATTCTGGATCACCCCAGGTCACAACAGCCCCAGATTCAAGAATGGCAGCAAAAGCGCTGTCAGTTGCTTGGATGTGCTGGACGTTCCTCAGCTGCTCTTGCACAAGGCTGCTGTCTCCGCCGTAGTCAGGATGACCCCAGGTCACAACAGCCCCAGATTCAAGAATGGCAGCAAAAGCATGGTTAGTTGCTTGGATGCTCTGGACGCTCCTTAGCTGCTCTTGCACAAGGCTGCTGTCTCCGACATATTGAGGATGACCCCAGGTCACAACAGCCCCAGATTCAAGAATGGCAGCAAAAGCAAATTTAGATGCTTGGATGTGCTGGACGTTCCTCAGCTGCTCTTGCACCCGGGTGCTGTCTCCGCCGTATTCTGGATCACCCCAGGTCACAACAGCCCCAGATTCAAGAATGGCAGCAAAAGCAAAGTTAGTTGCTTGGGTGCTCTGGACGTTTCTCAGCTGCTCTTGTACCTGGCTGCTGTCTTCACCGGTGCGTGGATTGACCCAGGTCATGTCAGTTGCTTGGATGCTCTGGACGTTCCTCAGCTGCTCTTGTACCTGGCTGCTGTCTCCGCCATATTCAGGATCGCCCCAGGTCACAACCTTGGCCCCGTGGCCATTCAAAGCAAACGCCTTGCCAGTGGCAGCTAGTTTGCCCAGCTGCACAACCGCAAGCACCACATCTCCATCTCGCAACCCGGCTTGGCCCAGCGTGGCAGTCAAATCAAGCTGCTGACCTTTCGCAGTGAGATTCAACCGGCGCTGAAAATGTTGCTGCGCTGCAGCCTTTAGCTCGCTGATGGGCGTTTTCAGTGAGACCTCTACGGAACAGCAATCTCCGCTGGGCAAGTGCACATGCACTTCCATCATGTTAGGCACTTTGGGCCTGAAGTCTTGCAACTTAAGCCAAAGCCAGATCAATGTCAGCGATTCGGAAAGGGAAACAACCAGACTTGAAGTCAACATTCAGCCCAACAGCCTAGGATTCGTTTTGGTCAAGGGCAGGTGCAAAGATGACTCAGACAGCACAGGCAAAGACTGGGTCAGAGGGCAACTCAAGCCACAGGAAAGGTGCGCCTAGAAGAGTTCGGAATGTCCACCCAGGGTCAATCTTCATGTTGTGAACTATGTTCGGTGAGTAACCCCATTTCCTAACGACAACATGGTGTGTGTACCCAATGTGATCCCCTTTACGGCTGTAAATGACTGTGAATATTGACTATTGCTCACATCTTGCCCGCTGGGGCACACCGAAAATCATACTTTCAGATTCTGTTTCATATCTAGTCAACCCTGAAACACAAAATTTTGGAGGAGACCCCTCCTTCGTTCACTAGCGTTGAATCTAGCGCTCGCGCGTGTCCTAAACTCTGGTGTTTCAAGACGTGCCGAGAGAACCATTTGATTAGCACGCGCCTGTCTCAGACTTCAAAGGCATAAACGCCGGCACAAGAGTTCGGCGGACAAGTTCATGAAATGTTTTGGGGTCCAAAACCACGCTCTACTAGTAGGGTTGTTCGATCAATGGCAACGGACAGAGGCAACTATATTTTCCACTGTACCACAATCCGCAATAGGCCTTTCGAGCCGGATGATGAAATCATCCAATACAGTACGTTCCAATCCCATGATACTGCGATTCCAAGGCAATTTGCGTCTGTTTGTTGTTGGTGGTTGTTGCACGCAACCCTTGGGATCACATGCTGTCACATCCCGCTGCAACATTTGGCTCAAGGCCTGGTTTTTATCAAAAACTGAGATCGCTTTCGAAGCAGCCTTGCTGTGCGCGCTCCCAAGCATACACTTGATCTACTTTTACCAAGCTTTGTCATTGACTTGAACAAGGACATCAGCGTTGTGAATAGAACTACGGACATATTCTGGTTGTTGCGGGCCTCTTTTGGGACCCGTTTTTCTGTCTCAGGGGTGGGGGGGGGGCTCGAAAACCAATGGAACATGGTTTCTTGTTTTTTCTTCTCTCCCCCCTTCGCCCTCTGATGCTTGCAAGCCGTGCAGCTCAGCTGGATGCAGGAACATGCTTTTCTATGCCGTGCCTTGGATTTGACAAGGCATCCCACGGCATCCCACGGCATCTCATGGCTGTTTACTCAACCATTTCGTGAATCTATGCTGATCAAAGGGAGGACCGTTGTGCAGGCCTCATGTGTTTGTTCCGAAAGCAAACATCTTCAGGGAAAAACAAACAAATAAGATGCGTGGAAAACGCGGGCTTCCACAACGTCCCCTTCTGTTCCATTACATTACATTGCGTTACGTTACGTTATACTACCCTACAGGAAGCTGCATTGAATGCATACATGCATGCGCACGTACATTACCAACTTTACCTACTTTACATACATTACCTACATTACACCTATATACATGCAAACATGCATTCAGTTCCATGGCACTACACTACGCTACGCTACACTACATTACATACATTGCATACATACATGCACACATACATTGCATACAAACAAGCACACAGGCAAAGATATCCAAACATACAGGTATACATACGTACGTACATACATTCATTACATTGCATACATTTATGTAACATATATATATATATATATATATATATATGTATGTATATGATATATGTTATATATATATATATGAATACATACAGGCCCTGTTCACACCTTGTGCACGCATCCCTTGTCACATGGAGCATATGGTTCAAGCACCCTGACTATACCGCTTCGCTTTGCCTTCCACACACTGTCTGGGCCTCCCTGCCCGCAGCAAGGACAGCAGTTTTGGCTGGATGTTGCTTCCGTGAAATGCCATAGCCTTTAAACAACACACAACAAGCAAAATGTATCCCTGACATTGCTATGACATGACAGGGCTCAGCTCCAACACACTGTCATGTGAATTCGCGTGGTGTACGCAGCGGACAGCTGCATGTTTCTTTGCCATCACGCATGCTGAAAGTTACAAGCTCAGGCTGATCACGGTGAACCGCGCTCAAGCCCACGGGCTTGCTCCACCTTCATGCGAACATGGCCGGCTTTTGTCCATCTTCGATGGGCACACAGCTTTGCCACAGCATCGTCGCAGCCTTAAGGAATATGTGACTGTGCTTGTGCCTATGCATTGATGTGCATCCAGGCTACAATCTTGCAGTTAAATGGTCAAGTTGGACGGTTGGACACTAACGAAATTGCAATGCGCTGGAATTGGACAAAACACGAATATGAATACACGAAAAACGGGAGACTCCTGGTCAGAATTGCGCAACTTGGACCCTGGTCATGTTTTGTGCCACCTTTAACGGCCCTCCGAAAAGGGCAACCATATGCCACCAGTTGATACAGCTTCATACTAGCTGGCGACAAATGACAAATGACAAAGCAAATGGCGTGCATGTTCTCCTCTTAGAATGCAAAAAAGACAAACAGAACCTGCCGGGCAACCAAAGCACTTGTCATTTTTTAAGACTGCCGCTGGTTGAGATTGGCCCTCGGCCCGAATAACCACCAACCACCTGTCTCATGTACCCCCAAATGACGATGATGAGTGCACTAGTCTCTGCTGAACCTCGTGACAGGTTGTTCAGGGGCTGCTGGTTTGGCTTCACGCCTGCCGTGAGGCTCGTCAATTAATTGCTAATCCCCATGTCACAATGTGCTCCATATATGGTGCTGATTCTGACTAAGCCCTGAAAGCACTCAATATTAGGGGCAGGACATGCGAACCAAGTCAGGGCGCCAGAGCCACCTGCACTCCCATAACCTGAAAGGTACCCCAAATGGCTGTGATTGGCTGTGGGTCAAAAATAGGTAGTACCCCAAATGGATCCCTGGTAAGTGGAAGCATGGACCAAAACTTGCGGTCCTTTGGTTTAATTTTGACCCAAAAAAGACACACTCCCTATGGATAGATCTCTCTTGGCCCGAAGTGCACTGCGAGCTCTAGCTTCATCCAGCCTCACGCTTCCGCCTGGAATCGTGCGCTCATGCATCGGCTTGAAGCATGACCCATGAACATAATACATTATCCTTATATGATTGTAGTGAGACACAGCTGTCTTGGTCAAAACGGAGATAATCTGTGTATGTAAGCTAACCAAACGGCACCACACAAGCACGCGATAACTCTTTTATCCGAGCAATGTGTTGGTGCCAGGGACTCATCTTCCCCTGTCAGATGTCAACGGCTGGGTGGGCCCCATGGGCCACCCACCTCAAACTCTCAAAAACTGAAGAACGGGTGTGCAGACTGATAGCGCCCGCCCCTGAGCCGGGGCCCGGGGCACCCAGGCCACAGGGGGGTCTGCCACCAGGGGAAGTGAGTCACCCACCGGCTCCGGTCACGGGAGCATGGGTGGGCCCACGCTAAGATCAAATGCATCTCCATTCAGGAGACGCGGGAGAAAAACGAACTCCTCGCAGAGTTCCTGTTTGGGACCCTGTGCAAAGGGTCGAACCCAGAGAAATCTGGGTGCGTCAGCTCATCAGCCCACTGGTTGAATTCCCGGGGCACGTGGTTGGCCGCCAGCGAGCAGCCATGGGTGTGGAGCAGGAAGACCAGCTCCATCAGGATCGCCGCGGTGTAGGGCTTCTTGGATCCAAGGTTGAGCATCGCCATGACGTTGCCCTGATTGTCACTGCCCACCGGGAGTCGGACCCGGGAGGACAGAGGGCCTTGGTGCGTGAGGATCATGTTACAGAGGAAGAGCGTGCCCAGCATTTCCAAAGCCGCAATCCTCCGCTTGGGATCCCCATTCTTGAATGCCCAAGGGTACTCCTCCACGTGGATCTGCTCGTGGAACCAGTACACCTCCTTCTTTTCCGGCTCCATTTTGTTGGAGCACCATCCTCCCACAAATGCCAGTCCTTCGTCCGAGGCGCTAGCATCGCTGCAACCCCACCAAGAGGACTTCGGCAAGTAAGGGGAGTACTGGACGAAGGGCGTGTTGAAGAGGAACCGCAGCATGAACGCCAGCATCCTGACCACCTTGGGGGGTTTCCCCACCGTGGTGGTGGCCATCTTCCAGGCCCAAAGTGGCTGAAGCATCGACTTCGCCAGCGGACATGCAGCAGTTGCCCATTGGATGCGGCCCAGGGCCTTCTCGATGTCCTTTGAGTGCATCGCCTGCCCTTCCACCATGGTCTGCAAGACCTCCATCACCAGGATGTGTTTGTTGGCGGCCATGAGAACCTGCGGGATGTTCGGGTGGACCACGAAGCCCAGCCACGTGTTGACCTCCGCCAAATGTGTCTTCTTCCAGCTAAGCGGGGTGCCCAAGGCCAGGAGTGTTGCCAACAGCGCCACCGCCAAGTTTACTGCCCCCTCGCTGCGAAGCAGCCACAGGAAGTCATCCACAAAGACGAAGTTCAGGGAAAAGTGCGTAGAGGACCCGGAGTAGAAGGGCTGCCAGGCGTCCCCAGTAGGATTGGGCACTGGCCATGCCGTGTGTGCCTACCTTGTTCACCCACCATTCTTCCCCCAGTGAAGCCTCCTTCCTTGAGGACCTTCACTCCGGTGGGCCTTGGTGACGTCCGCCTTGAGCAGCACCCACCTGGTGCCCGGCTCCGGCCATAGCCAGCCCCCAGGTGGAGGTTTGACGACCTCCTTCTCGGGGCCAGGGGCACCCTGAGAGGGAGGTCCCTCCGCAGCTGCCGCATGTAGCCAATGAAGAGCTTGTACCCCATCCAGCACCGTCGGAGCCGTCGTTCTTCCACCGTCTGGTTCCTGATGGTGTCATTGGCCCCGCCCACCGAGCCATCGTAGATGGTGCGGATCTTGTCCCCTTCGTCGATGCCCGCTAGGGGGCCGGGACAAAGGTCCTCAATCTCGCAGCCACAGCGCGATGCTGCCTCCACCTTGGTGAAGGGGCCCTCTACCATGCCCATGGGGACCTCCTCCAGGAATGTGCCACGGATGGGAACTCCGGCTCCTCCCCTTTTAGCTCCTTCTTGAGTGGCCCGGCGAGGCCAGGCGGGTCCGTGACCCCCAGTGGGCAAGGGGTTCCAGATCCCGAGGAAACTGGTGGTCGGGGTCCTGAATGTTCAGCGCCACGCTGTGCAAGATGTCCAGGAAGAAGGGTTGGCCTTCAGCTGGTCGGCCTGCCCCCAACGCCAGGATCTCCCTGATATCCTCCAGCAGGTCCTCCGGGAAGGGATGTGACCCGTCCCCCAACGAGAGCGACTCCTGGAGCTTGTCCCCCCATGGCAAAGTGAGGACACAGATCTTGGCCCCCATCGCTGCTGCTTTGGACAGTGGCCGAGTCCACGGGGCCAGCCGTCCCAGTGAGGGCTTCCCACCCCGTCCCTTAGGGGGCGCTGTTTGAAGGCCATCTGGAGGTACATAACCTTGTCGGAGAGATTTGGGTCGTGCGTGATCGGCAGGGTGGTGGGCCGATCCGAGATCTCCATGCAATGGCGTGCCCATGGCTCAGGGGAAAGAGTTCCACCCCGAAGTTCGACCATCCCGCCAGCCGGCTGTGTTGGTGTCCGGACCTCCGGATTGTCTGAGGCCGAGACCGGAAGTGAGCCCAAGGTTAGTCCCGCCAACGCTTGTTGGCCGGCCTTCAGCCTCCGGGACTGGCGCTTGTTGTCCCCCGGCGTGCTGGGAGAAGGTTCCCTCTGTCGCCTCGGGGGGGTGGGTTCGCCTGGGGCACCATGCCCCCCGGCCTCAGCGCCTCCAGGACGGGTCCCGCTCTGCAAAGGATGGCCGCTGCGAGACCCTGCATCATCTGCTCTGGATACCGGCTGAGGTCACTGGAGTTGAGCTTTTCCCCCCTGGGGTGAGCTCCGTGGTTGCATCGCAGATCATGCCAATGGTGAAGGGGAAGGTCCGTTGACAATGTCGTGGACTTCACTACCACCTGGCCCAGGCGGCACTCGTCAAACTTGATGAGGGAGTGGTGGAGTGCGTTCGCCCATTGAATGTAGGCCCGTGTGACCCAGATCGATGAGCACCTCGCTGCGCTCGGGCTCTTGCTGCACTCCATTGGGTCCATTGGGTGCTCCAAGAAGCAAGAAGGAGGAGCCCACCTGCGGGACCGTTAGTTGACCTAGCCCCTGGTAGGCCAGCGAGGTCAGGTACATCTGTCGGAGCATGAGCACGCTGTCGTTGTCCGTGTCCTCCATTACTCGGGGCTCCAGGTCCTCTAAGCCGCACAGGGTCTGCTCCGCTCTGCCCCTCACCGGCGGCTGGGGAACCATCTGAGAATGCTCCACGTCCTGCAGTTGGGGCCGCCCCCCACAAAGGCGACCTTGCCCGCCATGGCCATGGAGCACATCGTAGAGTAAGGCTCATCTCCCAGCATGTCCTGTCCAAGATCTCCACCCTTTCGCCTGATGTCCACTGCCCAAATGTACTCCGAGAAGGCCGGGTTGTAGGCATGGAGGTAAGCATCCAGGGCCCCCGCATCATCCTTCCCAGCGTACAGCAGGATGAGGGACGGCTTTGACGACTCCGGCACCGGACGTGGCGTCCACCTTAGTCTGAGCCTCAGTCTTTCCGGGGTGTCCTGCATCCATGGGAAGGTGGGGCTTGCCCCCCCTAGGGATTCCGTGTGTCCTTTGTCTGACCCTCCGGTCATCTGTCCCTGGGCTTGCTGCTTGCCCTGGCGGTTCTGCCCGCCCTTGGAACGCCCCTTGCCGAGCGGATCCTCACCTCTGGGTCTCTCTGGGGGTTCTTCCCACTGCCTCGGTGGGTGCGGGGGAAAGGGGTGCTTCCGCCCTTCTGGAGTGCCCTGGCTGGGTCCGCTCCTCTTCTTCGGTGGAGGGGCTTCCGGGGCCGGTGGCACCCTGGAGAAATCCCCTCCCACCTGCGGCCGTCCTGGCCTCCCCCGCTCTGTCTGCCTTCCGCTGTGGCTCTGGTGGGGTTGGCTCTCCCCCGCTGTGTGCACTCTCGCACTGGTGGCCTGTGATCCCAACGGAGACCAGGAAGCCACGGGGCCTATGGCACCCTGAGTGGCCTCCTGTCACTTGGGAAGGTGTGGGCATGCCTGTGGCACATGCTTCGATGGGGGGGCATCACACACCCACCCATCCTTCCTGACCGGGCAGTTGTGGGATCGGCCGCATGATCCCGAACACTTGTTGTGAAGGTGATGATCTCTGCAGTACGCCACCCCTTTGGGATTCTTGAAAGCCCAGTGGTCCGGCCATGGGGTCGAGGGGGTGTTGGGGGACTTCCCCTTGCCGCCCTTGCCCTTCGGCTTGGACCGGGTCGGCCCCGAGGGCCAGGATCCTTTTCCCCCCTTCTTGGGCTTCTCCCGCTGAGTCTGCCACACCTTGGGTGCCTTGCTCTTGCTCTTCCCGCGCCCTGTTCATAGACCTCCCGTTGCCAGAAGAGGAAGTCGCCCCTGATGTTCTTGAGGGCTTCGGAGAGAGTGGTGCCCTGGTGCACCATCTCGTGAATCTTGCGCCATGCATTGCGCTCTGCGAACAGCAAGGTGGTGTCGCTCGGGGGAGGCTTCCTGCCGGCTATGTCTTCCCCATAGAACCAGGCATACCAATCATCCAACTCCTCCTTGGTGACCCTCAGGTTGCCAAACTGTGGCAGTGCTGCCGTGCACATCAGGAGCGTCGTCCTGAAGGTTAGGTGCAATCGTTCCAGCTGGCGCCGAGATGTAGGGTGGCTCCTCACCTCTTCTTCATCCTCCCTGTCCCAGCCGTCCACCGTGATCTTCTTGTGGGTGGATGAGGGGCGTTCCCCTTCTTCCGGGAGCGCGCTCACGATGTGTTTTGCTGGGATGTAGCCCAGCTCGCCCTTGGCAATCATGCGCCATTGCTTCTTGAGGTAGCCATCACTACCTTGGAACTCCAACCTCGGCTTCGGGGTCCCATGCGTGGCTACGTAAGCATCTTCCAGCTGGCGCCTGTCACACAGGACCTCCAAGGGAGCCTTTGTCGGGCCCGCCTGGCCCGCCGGGTGGTCACCTTGGTTGCCCCCCGGACCAAGTTGGCTGCCACCCGAACTGCCTG